ACTGTTGTTCAACATATTTATAAACAACTTGGATAAAGGAATTGAGGGGATGCTCATCAAATTTGCAGACGACCCCAAACTGGGAGGGTTAGCTAATGCCACAGAAAACAGAATCAGAATTCAAAATGACCTTAACAGACTGGAGAACTGGGCCCAAGCTAACAAAATGAATTTAAACAGGGGCAAATGTAAGATTCTGCACTTAGGCAGGAAAAACCAGATGCACAAATATAAGATGGGGTACACCTGGTTTACTAGCAGTACATGTGAAAAGGATCTTGGGGTCTTAGTGCACCACAAGCTTAACATGAGTCAACATTGTGCTGCAGCACCAAAAATAGCTAATGCTATTCTAGGCTGCATCAACAGAAGTACAAAATCAAGGGAAGTAATAGTAGCACTCTATTCTTCCTTGGTCAGACTGCATCTGGAATACCGTGTCCAATTGTGGTCACCACAATTTAAGAAGGATGTTGACAAGCTGGAATGTGTGCAGAGGAGGGAAACCAAGGATCTGGAACCCAAGTCTTATGAGGAACGGTTGAAGGAGCTGTGTATGTTTAACTTGGAAAAGAGGAGGCTGAGAAGAGATATGACAGCCATCTTCAAATATCTCAAGGGTTGTCACATGGAAGAGGGAACAAGCTTGTTTTCTCCTGCTCTGGAGAGTAGGACTGGAACCAATGGCTTCAAGTTGCAAGAAAGGCGATTCCAACTCAACATCAAGAAGAACTTTCTGACAGTAGGAGCTGTTTGACAGTGGAATGGTCTCCCTCAGGATGTGGTGGACTCTCCATCATTGGAGGTTTTTAAAGCAGAGGTTGGATGGCCATCTGCCACAGATGCTTTAGCTGAGATTGCTGTATTGCAGAGGGTTGGACTAGATGACCCTTGGGGTCCCTTCCAACTCTGCAATTCTGTGGTTCTACGATTCAACTACTCAAAGGGCTGTCACACAGAAGAAGAAAAGGGCTTGTTCTCCACTGCCCCAGGCTAGGGACACACTATAGCTTTAAAGCACATTGAAAGCACATTCTTTCCCTCAAAGATTTATGGGCAACTGTAGTTTACCCCCTCAGGGAACTACAATCCCCAGCAACACTTAACAAATGATAGTGCCCATAATTCTTTGGGGAAATCCATGTGCTTTAAATGTATGGTGTGCATGCACTGACACCTTAGAGATTCAGGCTGTGTATACACTATACATTTAAAGCACATTCAAAGCACATTCTCTTTCTCAAAGACTTTTGGGCACTATCATTTGTTAAGTTTTACTGGGGATTCCTCATAAAATTCCAGACACTTTTGTTTGTTAAGGATTGCTGGGGATTGTAACTTGGTGAGGGTTAAACTACAATTCCGCACAATCCTTATCAAACTAAAGTGCCCAGAATTCTTTGAGGAAATTATTTGGCTCTGAAGGAATATTGTGTACACAGCCCCATTGCAGAAAGTCAGGGCCAGCTCTGTGATTCTAAGGCTACATCGGCAGCACACCTTTAAAACACAGTTATACCACTGTAACAGTCATGGCTTCCCTCCCCTCAAAGAATCCCTTGGCCCTCCAAGTCTGGACTACAACTCCCACCCTCCCTAGCTAACAGGACCAGTGGTCAGGGACGATGGGAATTGAAGTTCCAAAACAGCTGGAGGGCTGAGTTTGGCCATCACTGCATTAGGAGATCCCTCTTCCCCTCAAAGAACTAAAATTCACTCTTCCCAAGGAACTCTGAGAACTGTAGCTCTGTGAGGGAAATCGTAGCTCTGTGAGGGAAATCAGAGGCCCTTAAACAACTCTCAGCACTCTTAACAAATTACAGTCCCCAGAGTGATTTAGAGAAAGCCATGACGGTTGAAATGGTATCATAGTGTTTTAAAGGTGTGGTGCGGATGTGACCAAAATGACAACAGCAACATGAATGCAACGCTGGCCGGGAACATCACTGGTGCCAGCTTTTCAACGGGCTGTTTCTACTATGTGTTGATCCCCTCACTCCTGCCCCTTGAGGTTTGGCAGTCAGCTGTGACACATGCCCCTCAATCTAGCCCCAAGTATACTTCCAGTTTCAACTGTTTGCTTCAGTTATCATGTTGGGAAAGAGCTTAAGATAAGGGAGATATTGATTTGCAGGGAAATGGGCTGTGCCTCGGCGGCAGAGCATCTGCTTTGAATGCAAAAGGTCCTGAGTTCAAACCCCAGCATGGGTTGGGAGAGATTCCTTTTTGAAACTCTGGAGAAGACTTATTGATATAGATAGATGGACCAGTTCCTATTTTCCCAGTCCATACTGACTTGAGAATTACAGCAAGACCAGGGTCTCAGTTGCTGAGTTCCAGGAACCACATGTGAGAAGAAGGGCCAGTGTCAGCTCCCAGCATCACTGGGTGGCTCTGAGCAGCACTACATAGCTGACTTTAGCTCCCATTTCCCTCGCTCAACCCATGCCAACAATGTAGCATCCTGCAGCAAATCAAAATGGCGGCTAAAATAAACTGTCTGGCTGTGTTCTGAGTAAAGTTTCCTGCGGGCACAACCAAGTAATCTCACCAGGGCCTAGTGACAGAAGTTCCCCACTTTGCTCAGGGCCACCTCAGAACTGAGGCAGTCCATGGTGAGCAGCAAAGAGAAACTTCTGGACCTCTCTCAGATCTATGTTGTTTCTAAGGTACTCCTCTGAGGAAACAGCGCAATTGGCAGGGACAACATAGCATGGCCTTTTCAGCTGTGGCACTGAAACAGGAAAGTACCTTGCCGAGGGTTCTGTTTCTGCCCGCTTTTGAACAAGCTCCCAAAGTGATGTTAATCTGGCAGGGTTTTATTTTCATTTGTTTTAACTACAGCTTATATATAGCAAGGGACGCGGGTGGCGCTGTGGGTTAAACCACAGAGCCTAGGACTTGCCGATCAGAAGGTCAGCGGTTCAAATCCCCGCCACGGGGTGAGCTCCCGTTGCTCGGTCCCTGCTCCTGCCAACCTAGCAGTTCGAAAGCATGTCAAAGTGCAAGTAGATAAATAGGTACCGCTCCAGTGGGAAGGTAAACGGTGTTTCTGTGCGCTGCTCTGGTTCTCCAGAAGCGGCTTAGTCATGCTGGCCACATGACCTGGAAGCTGTCTGTGGACAAACGCTGGCTCCCTCGGCCAATAAAGCGAGATGAGCGCCGCAACCTCAGAGTCGGTCACGACTGGACCTAATGGTCAGGGTTCCTATATATAGCATGTGTTTTATGTACTGGATCAGACCAAAGGCCCATCCTATCCAGAATGAGGACTACAGGAAGCCTGCAAGCAGGAAGTGAACTGCACAAGCGCTCTTGTGCTCGCTCTCCTGCAACAGCTGTTCCTCAGTGTATGACTGTCCCCTACAGCGGAGGCAGAATATAGGAATCGGGGCTAGTTAGCCACTGAAAGCCTTATCCTCCATGAATTTGTGTAAGCACCTTAAAGCCACATTAGTGGCAATTACCACATCCTCTGGCAGCAAATTCCATTGTGTTTCACTATGCACTTTATGAAGAAGTCCATTACTTTGTGTGTCCTGAATCTTCCAAAGTTCCTCTTCCCTGGATGGTCCCAAGTTCTAACAATATGAGAGAGGGAGAAAAGTCTCTACTGTACCCACTCTCTTCACCCCATATATATTCTTCAACTCCGTCATGTCCCCTGTAACCTGCCTTTTTCGCTGAACTAAAAAGCCCAAAATATTGTAAGCTTTACTTCACGTGGGATTGCTGCAGCCCTGTGACCGTTTTACTTGCTCTTTACTGAACCTTTCTATGCAATTTCTACAACTGAGGTGCAGCAACCAGAACTCAACACTGTATGTGCAGCTGCACCATAGATTTGTATAACGGTGTTATGTTATTGGCAGTTTTATTTTCCCTCCCTCCCCTAGCGTCTCTTACGACGCTATTATCGCTGAATATTGAATACAACAATTGGGTTTTCACTCGCTTCATCTCACACACACATACACACACACACTCAAATTCTGCAAGCCACCTTGAGCATGCTTGTCATAGAAAAACATACTATAAATGTTAAAATAAATAAAGTGACAGAACAACCCCATGCATGTCTACTCAGAACCTCACTGAGTTCCATGCGAACTTGATCTCAGGTAAGTAGGCACAGGTAAGTAGGACAGTGTGATGCAGTTGTCATAATGTCAGACTAGGACCAAGGAGACCAGGGTTCAAATCCCAACTCATCTACTTATTTATGCATTTGTCGAACTTATATGCCAGCACTTCCTCCAAGGAGCTCAAGGCGGTTAATGGTTAATAGTTCTCCTCCTCCTCAGTTAATCCCCCAAACAACCCTGTGAGGTACCTTAAACTGAGATGCAGTGACTGACCCAAGGTCACCCAGTGAGCTTCATGATCATGTGGGATCTCTCTTTCAACCTAATCTACCTCGCAGGATTCTTGTGAGGATAAACGGAAGGGGGGCACAAGTGAATTAAGTGTGCCAGCTTGAGCTCCTTGTAGAAAAGGTGGCATTAAAAATGCAATTTTATATATATATATATATATATATTATATATATATATATATATATATATATAATTGCATTTTTAATGCCACATTTATATATATATATATATATATATATATATATATATATATATATATATGCACTCTTTCCTGAGAGCAAATCCTATTAAATTCAGTGGGGATAACCTCCGGGTAGGCATACACGAGATTGCACTGTACATACGTAAGATTGCACACCCCATCGAAAACCCAGCCTGTATTCACAGGTATTCCAGTGCTCCCTTTCCTCGCCCCACATTTTATTCCTATGCGTCTTATTCTGACCAATAACAAGAAACTTTTCTGCAAAGTTGCACGATCTTCCACATTAGAAGAAGAAACACACACACATACATACATGCATGCAAACATATGCACATACACACACACACACGCAGCCGAGTGCGGTGCGTGCAAGCTAAGCGGCGGAATGTGTTACTTCCCGGGTCGTGTGCAAGGATTACCTCATGCAGCACAATGGCAGACCAACACGTGTTCCCACCTTCGCCCTCCAGCGGCTTCGGAACGCGTCCGTGGGGCACGATCGCCTCGGCGCCACCGCATCCTCCGCGAAAAAGGCTGGTCGCGTGAAGAGGGAAGAGGGCGGAGTTTGTGGCAGAATGTACGCAAGCAACCACCGTGCGATTGGCTTTCGGAGAAAGGATTGTGGGAGTTTAGGAGAAGATGGCCAGGGAGGGGTCTGCGGGGCCGAAGCAACGTGTGAAAGGGAGGGATGGCGAGGAGGAAGCGGGGAGTGAACCGATCGGGGCTTCAACACGCCCGCACGAGCAAAAGAAAGGGAGGCTCGGAATGTGGAGATCGGTTCGGGCTGCTTCTCTCAAAGTGCGGCAAGCTTTCGGATTCGCAACGAGCCTCTCTCTCTTTCCTTACGCGGGTCGCTCAAGCCCCTAAATTATCAAAAGTTCTTGAACGGCCGGGTTAGGCTCTGTTTGTGTCGATCGCTTCTTGGGGAGGCAAAGAGAACAAAAGGATGGTGATTGAATTGGGAGTACCTAGCCAGGGGCTAGTTCTCAGATTGCACGGAATCTGAAAATTTGAGGGGTTTGGTGGGAGGAGTAGAAGAATACGAATCGCGCTCCGATGAACCCTAAAATCCACAGCAGGGCGGTGCTTGTATTAGGACCCAGCCAAAATGTCACAAAAACAGTGGCGAGGTTTCGAGCTGTCCAGAGTTCTTCGTCGAGTAGGATGTCTACACGAAGGGAGCAAAGAGAGAATTGTTTCATTTTTAAGGGATTCAGACAAACATACCCGAGCTGGCATTCGATTTGGGAGTCACGGGTACCTTCTTTGCTCAGCGCAGAGTTAAAGGGAAAGTGGGTGGCCACTGCCTTATTTGTTAATTATCATTTAATTAATATGTTTTTACCTTGCCTTTCAAAACCCCAATGGTCCCCAGCACAACTTGCAATAGACAGCAATAATGCACACAGAGAGAGGGTTATATACACAAGCCTCAAACCCACCCAACCCAGCGGTCTTTAGTCCCCTGACTGATAAATGGGACCAGAAGTGCTTCCGCTCTGCAGTCCTGGAGCAACTGTCAGTTGGAGCTGAGTGCTATTTGGGAAGGGCAGGGAGGGGGGCGGTGCAGGGAGAGGGACGCAAGCTTCTTGCAACTTCTGCTTCTTAGGAGCCCAGGGTGGTCTCCCCCTTGCCCGTGGTGACTGGTTCCAGCCAGAGCCAGTGACAGGCAGAGCTACTCCATTCCGCTTGTAAGCAAGAAGATAGGTGGTGGACTGGCTGAGAGCAGACCAAGGTTGCCCTAGGGCAAGCAGACCCTCCCCTGCCAGGTGACCCTTGTTTCCTTCCTGGTAAGCCGAGCGTGCAGCAACATTTACCTGGAGAACTTCCCTAACGGAATAGAACTGTGTTTCTCAGGGGTCGCGCAAGAACAGGTGATGCTCTCAGAGCAGAATATAAAGTTGCCTTTTATTTGCCAGTGAACTGAGATAGGCATAGCTGGCAACTTCTTCCTTCTTCTTCCTGGCAGGGGCCCTTTCGCATTCAGCAGCTACACAACAGGTGGATATTCCACAGGGGAAGATTTTCTCCAGCATAAATGTGTGATGGAGAAACAGTCCTGTGCTGAATTCCTGGCTGCCATGCAAGGCGATAACTCACCTTCTCAATGGATGACAGCTCATCTTTCTCCATGGGAATGCAGAGCACACACCTTCATACTGGAGTTTCTGTTAATGACTACTTTCCCCTATTAATACATTTGCCAATATCAAAGGTGCATTTCTCATTCCCACGGAGGAGGTGAGTTATCATCTCGTTGATCAGAGTTTAAAGCAGCCCAGATTGCTGGGAAACAATAAAAGGGAGACTTTTTGCTGGTGTACTTTCAACTCCTTTCCTGACAGAGGCTGCAGCAGTAATATGACAGCTGGAAACTCAACCAGTAGTGTTTTATGTGTCTTGGAACTACTGCCACGAGAAGCACAGCCTTTTGGATTTTGGCTTTATAGAGGCACAGAAGCCTCTGTCAGGAAAGGGAGCGTCAACCTCTGCCTCAGACCCATGGCTTTGTTTAGGCAAGTCACTTATCTCTCGACCTTTGCTCCCCCTTCTGCAAAAAGGGAATGAAAGCAACCTGCCTTACAGGGCTCTTGAGAGGACAGCCATGACAAAAAGAACGTGCGGGGGGTGGGGGGAGAGAGAGAAAGGTCCACTAACCCAACAGTACCATGTTGAAATATTTTTTCTACTGTATCGGTATTAGCATGTGTGGTGGGTTATAAGACAGTGGCAAGTTCTGATAGATGGATCCATGGAAGGTTTGTGCATTTATTTAGGACAATCACACACTTCCCTTCACAAACGCTTACCCCAGAGTGATTCCCAGTGCAATTTAAAGCACAATATAATGGCTAATAGTTGTTAGGCATGACTGAAAACTAAACCTCCATTTGCAGTTGCAGTGTACCTCTATATCTGAGATCCTGGGGGCAAATGGAGAGGTACAAAGCCTTCCTTGAAAAAAAAATGGCTGGCTACTCTTGGAAACAGGTTGTTAGACTAAAAGAGCCTTGGTCTGATACAACAGGGCTCTTCTTACATTCTTAAAACTGCTACTATAAGAGACTCGACATTTAAAGTGGTGTCCCTTGGAGAATGGAGCAAACTTGTTTTCTCCTGCTCTGGAGAGTAGGACCTGAACCAATGGCTTCAAGTTACAAAAAAGGGAGATTCTGACTTAACATCAGGAGGAAGTTTCTGACGGTAAAAGCAGTTTGGCAGTGGAACAGACTCCCACAAGAGATGGTGGGCTCTCTTACCTTGGAGGCTTTTAAGCAGAATTCGGATGGCCACCTGTCATGGATGCTTTAGTTGAGATTCCTGGATTGCCGGGGGGTGAACCAGAGGAGCCTCAGGGTTCCTTCCAACTCTAGAAGAAGAGTTTGGATTTGATACCCCGCTTTATCACTACCCTAAGGAGTCTCAAAGCGGCTAACATTCTTCTTTCCCTTTCTCCCCCACAAAAAACACTCTGTGAGGTGAGTGGGGCTGAGAGACTTCAAAGAAGTGTGACTAGCCCAAGGTCACCCAGCAGCTGCATGTGGAGGAGCGGAGAAGCGAACCCAGTTCACCAGATTACGAGTCTATCGCTCTAAACCACTATATCACACTGGCTCTCCAATTCTATGTTTCTATAGTTAGAGTAGGATGGGGGAATTGTGGCCCTCCAGATGTTTCTGGACTCCCAGTACACCCAATGGTCAGGGGTGGCAGCAGCTGTAGTCCAGCAATATCTGCAGAGCCATAGGTTCCACATCCCTGAATTAGATATTGGGTAAGAACCTTGAGAAGCCAGGGTTCGAGTTTCTAGCAAGCCGTAAAGCGGTCTGGGTGGCCTTGGGCCAGTCTCTCTTAGCCTCTCCTTGAAGTCCTCTAGTGCAGTGTTTCCCAACCTTGGGCCTCCAGCGGTTTTTGGACTACAACTCCCATCATCCCTAGCTAGCAAGACCAGTGGTCAGGGATGATGGGAATTGTAGTTCAAAAACAGCTGGAGGCCCAAGGTTGGGAAACACTGCTCTAGTGCCCCCCCAAACCCTGCCAGTAACTGCTCCAATGTCAAATTGCTCTGACCATAAAGGAGCATCTCCTAATATTCAACCAAAATTCACCCTCCTCTTACTTAAGTCTATTCAGTTTCTTGCCCTGCCCTCTTGGGCAGCAGAGAGTAATTATCTTCAGATACTTGATAAGAGAAGACTCCCTGGAAAAGACCCTGATGTTGGGAAAGATTGAGGGCACAAGGAAAAGGGGACGACAGAGGACGAGATGGTTGGACAGTGTTCTCGAAGCTACAAACATGAGTCTGACCAAATTGCGGGAGGCAGTGGAAGACAGGAGTGCCTGGCGTGCTCTGGTCCATGGGGTCATGAAGAGTCAGACACGACTAAATGACTAAACAACAACAACTTGATACTTAAAGACTGCTGTCATGTTGCTGTGGTAATCATTGCCCCCTGACTTCCCAGTCTTCTCTTCTCTAGGCTAATCATACCAAACTCTGTTCATCTTTTCTGAAATAACTTGCTTTCCATACTGTTGACCATCTACATCTTAACCTATTCCAATCTGTTTATAAGAACGGAAGAAGAGCCCTGCTGGATTGGCAGGACCTGAGTGCAATTGTGCCCTGTCCCTACTTGTGATTCCCAGCAATCCATATTCAGAGGCATACCAGACCTCTCATCTCTAGAGCAAGCGAACCATTTGGTAACACAGCAGGTCTCAAGCTTGCCCACTTACCTCATTGAGCACCTGGGTTAATAACCTTGTTGCTAGTCACTTGATCAATACAAATGAAAATGCTTTCAGAAGTACATAACAGCAGCTCTGCTGGAGCAGACCAATATCCCCAGCTAATCAGGCATCCTATTTTTACAGTGGCTAACCAGAAACTAAAGTGGAAAAAGTGTCAGAAGGACCTGAGTGCAATAGCACTCTCCCTTCCTGTAGTTTCCAGCAAGTGGCATATTCAGAAGCATTGCTGCCTCCAATTGTGGAGGCAGAGCCAAGCCACAGTGGCTAGTGACTATTGACAACCCCATCCTTCATGAATTTGCCCAATTCTTGAGCTGGGGAGCCAGTGTGGTGTAGTGGTTAAGAGCGGTAGACTCATAATCTGGTGAACCGCGTTCGCGCCTCCGCTCCTCCACATGCAGCTGCTGGGTGACCTTGGGCTAGTCACACTTCTTTGAAGTCTCTCAGCCCCACTCACCTCACAGAGTGTTTGTTGTGGGGGAGGAAGGGAAAGGAGAATGTTAGCCGCTTTGAGACTCCTTAAAGGGAGTGATACAGCGGGATATCAAATCCAAACTCTTCTACTCTTCTTCTATCCAAATTAGAATCATAGTTGGAAGGGATCCTGAGGATCATCTATTCCAGTGTTTAGCAAACTTCTTGGGTCTCCGTCTGTGGTTGGGCAGGGATGGTGGGAGTTGTAGTCCAACCACAACTGGAGACCCAAGTTTGAAAAATACTGATTTAGTCGAACCCCCTGCTACTATACTGTGAATATGCAGCTGTTGCATATGGGGATTGAACCTGCAACCTTGGTGTTATCAGCACTACAGTCTAAACCTACTGATACACACACACACACACACACACACACACACACACACACACACTCACTGGTGGCCATCACTACATCACCATCTTAATAGTGTGACCCACAGACCTGAACACAATACTCCAAATGAGATCTGAGTAGTGCAGATGGAACATTGAACGCTGCCTTGCGTCAGACCATTGGCTGATGTAGCTCAGCACTCTCTTAGTTGTGGTTGTCCAGGGTTTCAGACAGGAGTCTGCCCCAGATCTACCTGGAGAT